CACAACAGATGTGAGACATCATAAAGAAAGAAGGATGATAACATTTCTGCCAGTAGTAGTCTTTGAGTGAAAAAGGAAGACAAAGAGAGAGAAAGAGAGGGTGAAAGACACGAGAGAAGGAAATGGCAGAATAAGTCATATGATAATCACTTAGTTCTTTTTTAGTTTATTTGTTTTTCGTTGTAGTCTTTTTCTTTTTGTTTGTTATATTTTTACTACAAAGAAAGCCGGCTTCTTTACACTCCATCACCCTGCCCGCCAATTTTTTTTTTTTTTTTAAATATTTCAATAAATTGTCTCTATTTCTTTGTCGGTGCTTATGTCTCTAAATTTTCGCAAGTAAATTAAAAATTACCTATTCAAATTCGCAATTTATTATTATTTATCTTATTGAAAAAGGATTGGAATATAAATAAAGTAAAAGTCATGAAGAAATCGACCCCACCTACACACAAAAAGCATACAAAATCATTTCCTCTCAGTCAAAAAATAAAAATACATGTACATTACAAACTCGAATCATTACTTAAGAAATGATAACTTTAAAAATAATTAACTATTGCAGTAGAGACCATAAAAACGTTTTTTTGCAGGTATATAACATTTTTGTTTGATTATTTTTATTTTATGGTTGCTAAACTTGTAAGCGTCTCAATTATTCTTACGTTGTGACTATAAGGAAACGGCATAGAGTTGTTAAATGATTTAAAACAAAAATCCTTTAGACACACGTCGCTCTCTTCAACAACATTTTAGATTAGAAAAAGGCGCAAGAACACGCACATACACACGCACACACATAGACACACACGCACACAAACTATGTACACAAACGTTACACACAAACGCATCAAAGAAGAGAAGAAAGATGCTTAACTAAACAATATAAGAATATTATAACTTATACTTGTTATATCTTATTGAGCCAAATAAAGACACATTTAAAACAAAACAGAGATTTGATAAGAATTGAAATAAATTCCATAAATAAAGGAAAACAATGAGAAAAAAAATCTTTCGAATTTTTAAACACATCTCCACGTGAATTTCCAACATAGAAGCAAGTAGTAAAAAGTAAAAACAATAAAAAAATAAAGTAAATTTACTTCATACTTACAGTATATACATACAAGTGTTTTAAAGTCCTTACTGAGCGATTTTACCAGCACACGCAGTATAGGTGTGCGTGCGTGTGCCTCACATTTGCCTCTACTAAGTAATAGTAGTATAATGATACTGCTGCTACTTAAACAGTGTAGCAGTATAACTAGTAGCAGTAGTATACGTCCCACTACGTACATTTTAAAGTTATGTATGTTTTTTACGTCGAAAACGTAACATAACATCTGATTGCAGTTTTTTACGCGCTCAAAGCGTGAACATTTGTCGTACCAAAAAAGGCGTACGATAATTGATCCGTAAACATTTTAAATCATTATGTTATACGGAGTTTATTTTATTTTGGGCTTCGCTCAGGGATCAGAACTAACATGGAAATTTAATTAATTTTAATTGTATTTTTGCTTGATTATTTATAGCAGCAGCTCTTTCTTTTTCTCTCATCTCTAAATTTTCTTTTAGGAAGAGATATTTAGAAGCAAAATATTATACAATGAAGCGGACACATGAAAAAAAAAATAAAGTGGGAGAGAGAAGGATGCAATTATTGCGTACACGCTAATTACATAGACTCATCTTTTACGCGCAAAATATATTTATTTTCATATGCATACAACATGTGAACACGGGAAAAGTATCATACATCCCATAGGGAAATGAAAGCACAGTTATATAACACCCACCAATAACACAAAAACATAACACAAAAACATTTTTCAACACATGTAATACCACAAATTACACACTTCATCTTTACACACACACACACACACACAACACACACACACACACACACACACACACACACACACACACACACACACACACACGCAGGCGCACGCACACGCACGCACACACACACACACACGTGTTGTTTACGGAAGGAAAAAAAATTAATTCGAATTTTTTTTTAATAAGTTTTTGTTGAAGGAAGTGACGATGAAGATGACTGAGTTTAGGAGAGAAAACGAGAGAGAATGAGAGAGAGAGAGAAAATGTGAGAGAGAAAATGAGAGAGAGAGAAAATGAGAGAGAGAAAATGAAAAAGCGCATTTTCCTTCTTTTTTTTTTAATGCAATCTGCACGAGCATGACTTCAATTTGACTTACCTATTATATTCTTGTTTCTTTGCTTAGAGTATAAAATATAATTATTTGCATAACTGTATAGCATTAACATCACTCTTGACATATTTGCAAAACAATTTGCCGTAGTCTAGTCGTCAATTTCTGCAATACTCTCCCACCCCATCCATCTTATCATTTTTAGGTCCATTTTTCCTCCTTCAGCATCTCGCATGACAAAGAATAGCAGCTTTCCATATAAGGTGCAGCTATGACGTCAGGAGCCACCTGATTGGTCGAAATTAACATAATTTATTCAAAACTAGGTTTTAATGAATGGTGAGCAGATATAGTTTGACAATCACACGTGGTACTACTATTGATATGTGTGATTAATTTTTTTCCTCTACTCTATATATTGGATATTCGTTGTATATAGCATAGAATTGATTTTTATTTCAATTATCAATATATCAAAAATAAAATAAAATAAAAATAGTTGCCTCACAAACTTTAAAAAATTATTTATGGTGCTTTAAAGGTATCATTTATTTCTTCTAAATGTCAATTTAAAGGTTTTCTAAATGACAGAATGGAATTTTAAACTTTTTTTCATACATAAAGAAAAAAAATTATGTGTAGATAAATGAGAATGATAAAGTTCAAAAGTTTATTTTAAAAAAATATAGTATATCTTACAAGAATGTAGGCAAATATGGCTCTTCGCAGATACTTTTCCTGTGAATTTTCATGACATTTTCAGAAAGATACTAGAGGACACTATTTAATTGTTCGGACTATCATCCTCATCTTTGTTGCCATATTTATCACGTTTCGGCTGTTGCATGTTCCAGCCTTCTTCAAGTGTTGGAAAGTTGAAATGAACCCTTTATTTTGCTCACTGGGGTAGACTGTTCTAGTTCTATGTGCAATGTCTAATGGATGTCAGTTATCTCCTGTTAATTCCCCACTCCAAGTTCACCACTATAACCAGGTATTGAACTCACACTCTCTGGGTCCTGTCACTGGATCTAAGTAACGTCTTTATTCACTGTGCCATGTTATCCTTGAGGAATTAACAGGAGATAACTGATAACTGACATCCATTAGACATGGCACATGGATCTAGAACAGTCTACCCCAGCAAGCAAAATAAAGGGTTCATTTCGACTTTCCAACCACCTGAAGAATGCCGAAGCGTACAATGGCCGAAACTTTGTGATAAATATGGCAACAATGATGAGGATGATAGTCCGAACAATGTAAAATAGTGTACATAATACCTCATCTCAGAAATATAGACAGATACTGATACCAGAGTAGTTTAGTGTTCCATTCTTCACAGATTTAAATTTGGAGTAGTGCTTCTGCTAGGCTACCATCCAAGGCTAGAGAGATCAGTCTATTCTACTATTTAACCCAAAGCTGGGATAAAAAAATATGGATACATATATTTTCAAAGGACATTAGTACAAAAGTGTAAACAAAAGATTAAATCAGAGCTTGAACATGATTCACTAATTCTATTTTCAAAAAACAACAACTAACATGATACATCAACTTTCTACACCAATAATTGTTACACTAATTTTCACTTTTGACACCAATAGGAATCTTGCTAGATTGCACTTTTTACACTAACAACAATTAATCTACATTCCACTTTCAACAACAATATCCGTCTCTCTACATTTCACTTACGACAACAATATCCATCTCTCTACTTCCACTACAACAATATCTGTCTTGCTATTCCACTCAACAATATCTGTCTTGCTACATTCCAATGACAATATCTGTCTCTCTACATTCCACTTTCAACAACAATATCTCTCTAATTCCATCTATCTGTCTTGCTACATTCCACTTATGACAACAATATCTGTCTTGCTACATTCCACTTATGACAACAATATCTGTCGCTCTACATTCCACTTTCAACAACAATATCTCACTACATTCCACTTATGACAACAATATCTGTCTCTCTACATTCCACTTTCAACAACAATATCTCTCTACATTCCACTTATGACAACAATATCTGTCTCACTACATTCCACTTTCAACAACAATATCTGTCTCTCTACATTCCACTTTCAACAACAATATCTCTCTACATTCCACTTTCGATAACAATATCTGTCTTGCTACATTCCACTTATGACAACAATATCTGTCTCTATACATTCCACTTTCAACAACAATATCTCTCTACATTCGACTTATGACAACAATATCTGTCTTGCTACATTCCACTTATGACAACAATATCTGTCTCACTACATTCCACTTTCAACAACAATATCTGTCTACATTCGACTTATGACAACAATATCTGTCTTGCTACATTCCACTTATGACAACAATATCTGTCTCACTACATTCCACTTTCAACAACAATATCTGTCTCTCTACATTCCACTTTCAACAACAATATCTCAGTACATTCCACTTTCAACAACAATATCTGTCTTGCTACATTCCACTTATGACAACAATATCTGTCTCACTACATTCCACTTTCAACAACAATATCAGTCTACATTCGACTTATGACAACAATATCTGTCTTGCTACATTCCACTTATGACAACAATATCTGTCTCACTACATTCCACTTTCAACAACAATATCTCAGTACATTCCACTTTCGACAACAATATCTGTCTCACTACATTCCACTTATGACAACAATATCTGTCACTCTACATTCCACTTTCAACAACAATATCTCTACATTCCACATTTGACAACAATATCTGTCTCACTACATTCCACTTATGACAACAATATCTGTCTCTCTACATTCCACTTATGACAACAATATCTCTCTACATTCCACTTTCAACAACAATATCTCTCTACATTCCACTTTCAACAACAATATCTGTCTCTCTACATTCCACTTATGACAACAATATCTCACTACATTCCACTTTCTATCTCAGTACATTCCACTTTCGACAACAATATCTGTCTCTCTACATTCCACTTTCAACAACATTATCTGTCTCACTACATTCCAATTTCATATCTCAGTACATTCCACTTTCGACAACAATATCTGTCTCACTACATTCCACTTATGACAACAATATCTGTCTCTCTACATTCCACTTTCAACAACAATATCTTTCTACATTCCACTTTCAACAACAATATCTGTCTCACTACATTCCACTTATGACAACAATATCTGTCTCTCTACATTCCACTTTCAACAACAATATCTCAGTACATTCCACTTTCAACAACAATATCTGTCTCTCTACATTCCACTTTCAACAACAAAATCTCTCTACATTCCACTTTCAACAACAATATCTGTCTCACTACATTCCACTTTCAACAACAATATCTCAGTACAACAATATCTGTCTCTCTACATTTCCACTTTCAACAACAATATCTCTCTACATTCCACTTTCGACAACAATATCTGTCTCACTACATTCCACTTTCAACAACAATATCTCAGTCATTCCACTTTCTACTGTCTCTCTACATTCCACTTTCAACAACAATATCTGTCTCACTACATTCCACTTTCAACAACAATATCTCAGTACATTCCACTTTCGACAACAATATCTGTCTCTCTACATTCCACTTTCAACAACAATATCTCTCTACATTCCACTTTCGACAACAATATCTGTCTCACTACATTCCACTTATGACAACAATATCTGTCTCTCTACATTCCACTTTCAACAACAATATCTCTCTACATTCCACTTTCAACAACAATATCTGTCTCACATTCCATATCTCACTTTCCACTTTCAACAACAATATCTGTCTCACTACATTCCACTCCTGACAACAATATCTCTCTCTACATTCCACTTTCAACAACAATATCTCTCTACATTCCACTTTCGACAACAATATCTGTCTCTCTACATTCCACTTTCAACAACAATATCTAAGTACATTCCACTTTCGACAACAATATCTGTCTCACTACATTTCACTTTCAACAACAATATCTCAGTACATTCCACTTTCGACAACAATATCTGTCTCTCTACATTCCACTTTCAACAACAATATCTCAGTACATTCCACTTTCGACAACAATATCTGTCTCTCTACATTCCACTTTCAACAACAATATCTCAGTACATTCCACTTTCGACAACAATATCTGTCTCACTACATTCCACTTATGACAACAATATCTGTCTCTCTACATTCCACTTTCAACAACAATATCTCAGTACATTCCACTTTCGACAACAATATCTGTCTCACTACATTCCACTTATGACAACAATATCTGTCTCTCTACATTCCACTTTCAACAACAATATCTCAGTACATTCCACTTTCGACAACAATATCTGTCTCTCTACATTTCCACTTTCAGTACAACAACAATATCTGTCTCTCTACATTCCACTTTCAACAACAATTCTGTCTCACTACATTCCACTTATGACAACAATTCTGTCTCTCTACAACTTTCAACAATATCTGTCTCACACATTCCACTTTCGACAACAATATCTGTCTCTCTACATTCCACTTATGAACAACAATATCTGTCTCTACATTCCACTTTCAACAACAATATCTCTCTACAACAATATCTGTCTCACTACATTCCACTTATTATCTGTCTCTCTACATTCCACTTTCAACAACAATATCTCAGTACATTCCACTTTCGACAACAATATCTGTCTCACTACATTCCACTTACAACAATATCTGTCTCTCTACATTCCACTTTCAACAACAACAATATCTCTCTACATTCCACTTTCGACAACAATATCTGTCTCTCTACATTCCACTCCCAACAATATCTCTCTCTACATTCCACTTTCCACAACAATATCTGTCTCTACATTCCACTTTCAACAACAATATCTCTCTACATTCCACTTTCAACAACAATTCCATTTTCAACAACAATATCTCACTACATTCTCTCTGTCTCTCTACATTCCACTTTCAACAACAATATCTCTCTCTCACTTTCGACAACAATTCCACATTTCAACAACAATATCTGTCTCTCTAATTCCACTTTCAACAACAATATCTCAGTACATTCCACTTTCGACAACAATATCTGTCTCTCTACATTTCCACTTTCAACAACAATATCTCAGTACATTCCACTTTCGACAACAATATCTGTCTCTCTACTATTTCCACTTTCAACAACAATATCTCAGTACATTCCACTTTCGACAACAATATCTGTCTCTCTACATTCCACTTTCAACAACAATATCTGTCTCCTACATTCCACTTTCAACAACAATATCTCTCTACATTCCACTTTCAACAACAATATCTGTCTCTACATTTCCATTTCAACAACAATATCTCTCTACATTCCACTTTCGACAACAATATCTGTCTCTCTACATTCCACTTTCAACAACAATATCTCTCTACATTCCACTTTCAACAACAATATCTCTCTCCTACATTCCACTTTTCAACAATAATATCTGTCTCTCTACATTCCACTTTCAACAACAATATCTCTCTATTTCCACTTTCATATCTGTCTCTCTACATTCCACTTTCAACAAATATCTCATACATTCCACTTTCTCAATATCTGTCTCTACATTCCACTTTTTTCAACAACAATATCTCAGTACATTCCACTTTCATGACAACAATATCTCTCTACATTCCACTTTCGACAACAATATCTGTCTCTCTACATTCCACTTTCAATCCTCTCTACATTCCACTTTCAACAACAATATCTGTCTCTCTACATTCCATATCTGTCTCACTACATTCCACTTTCAACAACAATATTCTCTACATTCCACTTTCGACAACAATATCTGTCTCTCTACATTCCACTTTCATTCCACTTTTTCAACAACAATATCTCTCTCTACATTCCACTTTCAACAACAATATCTGTCTCACTACATTCCACTTTCAACAACAATTCTCAGTACATTCCACTTTCAACAACAATATCTGTCTCTCTCTACATTTCACTTTCAACAACAATTCTGTCTCTCACTATTCCACTTTCAACAACAATATCTCAGTACATTCCACTTTCGACAACAATATCTGTCTCTCTACATTCCACTTTCAACAACAATATCTGTCTCACTACATTCCACTTTCAACAACAATATCTCAGTACATTCCACTTTCGACAACAATATCTGTCTCACTACATTCCACTTACAACAATATCTGTCTCTCTACATTCCACTTTTCAACAATATCAATATCTGTCTCACACTACATTCCACTTATCTATCTGTCTCATTTCCACTTTCAACAACAATATCTGTCTCTCTACATTCCACTTTCTCTAACAACAATATCTGTCTCTCTACATTCCACTTTCAACAACAATATCTCAGTACATTCCATTTCAACAACAATATCTGTCTCTCTACATTTCACTTTCAACAACAATATCTCTCTACATTCCACTTTCAACAACAATATCTGTCTCTCTACATTCCACTTTCAACAACAATATCTGTCTCTCTACATTCCATTTCCAACAATATCTCTACATTTCCACTTTCGACAATATCTGTCTCTCTACATTCCACTTTCAACAAATATCTCAGTAATCTCTCAGTACATTCCACTTTCCTGTCTCTCTACATTCCACTTTCAACAACAATATCTGTCTCTACATTCCACTTTCAACAACAATATCTCTCTACATTCCACTTTCGACAATCTCTCTCTACATTCCACTTTCAACAACAATATCTCTCACATTCCCTTTCTATCTGTCTCACTACATTCCACATTCCTCTCTTTCCACTTTCAACAACAATATCTCTCTCATTCCACTTTCAACAACAATATCTCCACATTTCACTTTCAACAACAATATCTCTCAGTACATTCCACTTTCAACAACAATATCTGTCTCTACATTTCCACTTTCAACAACAATATCTCATTCATTCCACTTTCAACAACAATATCTGTCTCTCTACATTCCACTTTCCAACAATATCTCAGTACATTCCACTTTCAAACAATATCTGTCTCTCTACATTTCCACTTTCAACAACAATATCTCAGTACATTCCACTTTCAACAACAATATCTGTCTCTACATTCCACTTTCACAACAATATCTCTCTACATTCCACTTTCAACAATATCTGTCTCACTACATTCCACGACAACAATATCTGTCTCTCTACATTCCACTTTATCTGTCTCTACAACAATATCTCAGTACATTCCACTTTCGACAACAATATCTGTCTCACTACATTCCACTTTCAACAACAATATCTCAGTACATTCCACTTTCGATATCTGTCTCTCTACATTCCACTTTCAACAACAATATCTGTCTCAGTACATTCCACTTTCGACAACAATATCTGTCTCTCTACATTCCACTTTCAACAACAATATCTCAATTATCTGTCTCACTACATTCCACTTATGACAACAATATCTGTCTCTCTACATTCCACTTTCAACAACAATATCTCAGTACATTCCACTTTCGACAACAATATCTGTCTCACTACATTCCACTTATGACCTGTCTCTCAACATTCCAGTTTCAACAACAATATCTCTCTACTTCCACTTTCTACATTCCACTCCAACAATATCTCAGTACATTCCACTTTCGACAACAATATCTGTCTCTCTACATTCCACTTTCAACAACAATATCTCAGTACATTCCACTTTCGACAACAATATCTGTCTCTCTACATTCCACTTTCAACAACAATATCTGTCTCACTACATTCCACTTATGACAACAATATCTGTCTCTCTACATTCCACTTTCAACAACAATATCTCAGTACATTCCACTTTCGACAACAATATCTGTCTCTCTACATTCCACTTTCAACAACAATATCTGTCTCATTCCACTTATGACAACAATATCTGTCTCTCTACATTCCACTTTCAACAACAATATCTCAGTACATTCCACTTTCGACAACAATATCTGTCTCACTACATTCCACTTATGACAACAATATCTGTCTCTCTACATTCCACTTTCAACAACAATATCTCTCTACATTCCACTTTCGCCAACAATATCTGTCTCACTACATTCCACTTATGACAACAATATCTGTCTCTACATTCCACTTTCCAATATCTCTCTCTACATTCCACTTTCAACAACAATATCTGTTTCACTACATTCCCTTAAATATCTGTCTCTCTACATTCCACTTTTCAGTCCATTTCAACAACAATATCTGTCTCTCTACATTCCACTTTCAACATTCCACTACATTCCACTTATGACAACAATATCTGTCTCTCAACATTCCACTTTCAACAACAATATCTCTCTACATTCCACTTTCAACAACAATATCTGTCTCACTACATTCCACTTATGACAACAATATCTCAGTACATTCCACTTTCGACAACAATATCTGTCTCTCTACATTCCACTTTCAACAACAATATCTCAGTACATTCCACTTTCGACAACAATATCTGTCTCACTACATTCTACTTTCAACAACAATATCTCAGTACATTCCACTTTCGACAACAATATCTGTCTCTCTACATTCCACTTTCAACAACAATATCTCAGTACATTCCACTTTCGACAACAATATCTGTCTCTCTACATTCCACTTTCAACAACAATATCTCAGTACATTCCACTTTCGACAACAATATCTGTCTCTCTACATTCCACTTTCAACAACAATATCTGTCTCACTACATTCCACTTTCAACAACAATATCTGTCTCTCTACATTCCACTTTCAACAACAATATCTCAGTACATTCCACTTTCAACAACAATATCTGTCTCACTACATTCCACTTATGACAACAATATCTGTCTCTCTACATTCCACTTTATCTCTCTATACCACTTTCCAACAACAATATCTGTCTCTCTACATTCCACTTTCAACAATATCTCTCTACATTCCACTTTCAACAACAATATCTGTCTCCTACATTCCACTTATGACAACAATATCTGTCTCTCTACATTTCAATTCAACAATATCTCTCTATATTCCATTTCCAACAATATCTGTCTCTCTACATTTCCTCTTTCAACAATATCTCTCTACATTCCACTTTCAACAACAATATCTGTCTCACTACATTCCACTTATGACAACAATATCTCAGTACATTCCACTTTCGACAACAATATCTGTCTCTACATTCCACTTTCAACAACAATATCTCAGTACATTCCACTTTCGACAACAATATCTGTCTCACTTCATTCCACTTTCAACAACAATATCTCAGTACATTCCACTTTCGACAACAATATCTGTCTCTCTACATTCCATTTCCAACAATATCTCAGTACATTCCACACAACAATATCTGTCTCTCTACATTCCACTTTCAACAACAATATCTCAGTACATTCGACTTTCGACAACAATATCTGTCTCTCTACATTTCCACTTTCAACAACAATATCTGTCTCACTACATTCCACTTATGACAACAATATCTGTCTCTCTACATTTCCACTTTCAACAACAATATCTCAGTACATTCCACTTTTTCAACAATATCTGTCTCATTCCACTTATGACAACAATATCTGTCTCTACATTCCATTTCCACAACAATTCTCTCTACATTCCACTTTCGACAACAATATCTGTCTCACATTCCACTTATGACAAAAATATCTGTCTCTCTACATTCCACTTTCAACAACAATATCTCAGTACATTCCACTTTCGACAACAATATCTGTCTCACTACATTCCACTTATGACAACAATATCTGTCTCTCTACATTCCACTTATGACAACAATATCTCTCTATATTCCACTTTCGACAACAATATCTGTCTCTCTACATTCCACTTTCAACAACAATATCTCTCTACATTCCACTTTCAACAACAATATCTGTCTCACTACATTCCACTTATGACAACAATATCTGTCTCTCTACATTCCAATTCAACAACAATATCTCTCTATATTCCACTTTCGACAACAATATCTGTCTCTCTACATTCCACTTTCAACAACAATATCTCTCTACATTCCACTTTCAACAACAATATCTGTCTCACTACATTCCACTTATGACAACAATATCTGTCTCTCTACATTCCAATTCAACAACAATATCTCAGTACATTCCACTTACAACAACAATATCCATCTCTCTACATTCCACTTTCGACAACAATATCCATCTCTCTACATTCCACTTATGACAACAATATCTGTCTCTACATTTCCACTTTCAACAACAATATCTCTCATTCCACAACAATATCTGTCTCACTACATTCCATATGACAACAATATCTGTCTCTCTACATTCCACTTTCAACAACAATATCTCAGTACATTCCAGTTATGACAACAATATCTGTCTCTCTACATTCCACTTTCAACAACAATATCTCAGTACATTCCACTTTCAACAACAATATCTGTCTCACTACATTCCACTCATGACAACAATGTCTGTCTCTCTACATTCCACTTTCAACAACAATATCTCTCTACATTCCACTTTCGACAACAATATCTGTCTCTCTACATTCCACTTTCAACAACAATATCTCATCTTTCGTCAACAATATCTGTCTCACTACATTCCACTCCAACAATATCTGTCTCTCTACATTTCCACTTTCAACAACAATATCTGTCTCACTTTGACAACAATATCTGTCTCTCTACATTCCACTTTCAACAACAATATCTCAGTACATTCCAGTTTGACAACAATATCTGTCTCTCTACATTCCACTTTCAACAACAATATCTCAGTACATTCCACTTTCAACAACAATATCTGTCTCTACATTCCTCACATATCTGTCTCTCTACATTCCACTTTCAACAACAATATCTCTCTACATTCCACTTTCGACAACAATATCTGTCTCTCTACATTCCACTTTCAACAACAATATCTCAGTACATTCCACTTTCGACAACAATATCTGTCTCCACTACATTCCTCATGACAACAATATCTGTCTCTCTACATTCCACTTTCAACAACAATATCTCTCTACATTCCACTTTCAACAAAAATATCTGTCTCACTACATTCCACTTTCAACTTTATCTGTCTCTCTACATTCCACTTATGACAATAATATCTCTCTATATTCCTTTCGACAACAATATCTGTCTCAACATTCCAAACAATATCTGTCTCTCTACATTCCACTTTCAACAACAATATCTGTCTCACACATTCCACTTATTATCTGTCTCACTACATTCCACTTTCAATATCTGTCTCTCTACATTCCACAACAACAATATCTCTCTCTATTCTAACAATTCGCTCTACATTCCACTTTCGACATCAATATCCATCTCTCTACATTCCACTTTGACAACAATATCTCTTACTCTACATTCCACTTTTGACATCAATATCCATCTCTCTTTCCACTTACTGCAATATCTCTTACATTCCCACTTTTGACCTAATATGTGTTTTGCATTTCACATTCTTCACTAATAACTGTCATCTTAAATTCCTCTTTCTACACCAGTAGCCATCATGCTAGATTCCAATTTCAACAATATCCATCACTCTACATTTGACGCTATTAGCATTCATGCTAGATTCCACTTTCTATACCAATAACCGTCAGGCTACATTCCACTTTTGATATTGTTATATTACAACGCAATTGGATCTCATCCTGATTCATTCTGCACGCTAGCCAGATGTGAGTGCCATGAAGGCAGAAAACAAAATAACAATTCATTTTCTGCACATTACGCTCCACACATGACTTTCGTTCTACAAAATGAGCTTCGGTGGTAGACAATCATGAACGTTACCGCCAGTAAAAGAGATGTCCCTAGGGATTACCAGACCTGCTTTAAAGTGGGCTCTGAGGATGACCAAGACATAGTTGTGGCCTGGTGTGGCTGCTGGCCATTACACAGGGCACTATTGCTGCTGCTACTGCCACCATGACCGCATCACCATGACAACAGAGTTGCGACCTGGCCATCCCACAGACACAGAGCACTGCTACTGCCATGGTCACCACCTTCATCACCACCACTCAACATGACCGCACATCTCAACATCAATTACCACTTCCAGGTTTGACCAACCACCTCAGCTATCCAGCTTTGACTCAAAACATCTCAACCTTGATTCCTCCCAGCTACAAGCCTTCATGGATACCAAACCCTTGGCTTACCTCAACTCATTTTCAAGGCATTCCCTTCACAGTTGACACCAGCAACCTCTGTTCTACAGAACAAGCCTACCAACCAGTGCCATCACCTTTGCCTACCTTCTAACTCATTTACAACCATTCCCTTCACAGTCAACACTCCATTCCACAGAACAAGCATACCCACCCCTACCATCACCTCAGCCTACCTCGACTTGTTTAAAAGGCATTCCCATCACAGTTGACATCAATGGCCACCATTCCACAAAACAGACCAACCACTCCTGCTGTCACAGCAGCCTACCTTGACCTGTTTGCAAGGCATCCTCTTCACAATCAACACAGCATCCTCTGTTCTATGGAAGAGACCTACCAACACACACTGTCACCTCAGCCTACCTTGACAACTCGGTTACAAGGCATTCCCTTCACAGTTAACATCAGCAACCTCCATTCCACAGAACAGGCTGACCAAACTGACGTCACCCCAGTTCAATACATCAGCTCTACAAAACCAACAAATGACCTACCACTGTGACTTTGATCAACCAAACATGAACCGACCATATCCAATGACCTCCGCCACACCAACACAAGAAATGGGTCAACTCCCAGCACTACATTTACTCCAGATCACTATTTCTGTACTCTCTACCAACAATAAACATTGTTTCAATCTAATCCTCATTATTCCTTTCTCTCACTACCAAACCCTTAATATAACAACACTAATAGCCATCAAATTCATCCCACTTTTGACACCAATAGCCATAACACTATATTCTAATTTCAAAACCAGTAGCTATCACAATACATTCCACTTTAAACAGCAATAGCCGTCACACTACATACCATTTTTGACACCAGCATATTTCCAATTCATTCTCAAGTTGTTTTAATATTTACAACTGTAGTCCATTAATGGTATTATCCACTTCCTTGGGGTGAATTGATTAATAACTAAACTTTGACACCAACAGCCATCATGTTGGATAGTATTTTTTACACCAATAACCATCTTACTATATTGAATATTCAATAGCAATAGCTGTCACAGAACATTCCTCTATGAACACCAATAGTCAATACATTACATTCCACATTTAATAACAACAGCTGTCATGCTCGATTCCACTTTGACACAAAGAGTTGTTGCACAACATTTCACATTCTGCAGCAAGACCCATCATCCTGGATTGCAGATTCTATACCAATATTCATCAAACTGCATTCCACTATACAATCAACACCAATAGCCATCACACTACATTCAACATGAATAGCAATCACACTACATTCTACAGCCATCACCAATAGCAATCACGTTACATTCTATATTCAACACCAACAGCCATCCCACTACATTCTACATTCAACATGAATAGCCATCACACTACATTCTACATTCAAAACCAATAGACATAATGCTACATTCTAATATCAACACCAACAGCGATCACGCTACATTCTATATTCTACACCAATAACCTTCACACTACATTCAACATAAATAGCAACTGCACTATATTCTACATTCATCACCGATAACCATCACAATATATTCTATATTCAACATCAATAGCCATCATGCTACATTCTATATTCAACACCAATACCCATCATACTACATTCTATATTCAACACCAACAGCCATCCCACTACATTCTATATTCAACACCAAAGCCATCACACTACATTCTATATTCAACATGAAAAGCCATCACACTACATTCTACATTCAAAACTAATAGCCATAATGCTACATTCTATAATCAACACCAACAGCCATCATGCTACATTCTATATTCTACACCAATAGCTATCATGCAACATTCTACATTCAACATGAATAGGCATCACAATACATTCTACACTCATCAACAATAGCCATCACGCTACATTCTATATTCAACAATATTAGCCATCACACTACATTCTATATTCAACAATATTAGCCATCACACAAAATTGTATATTCACCTACAAATACCAATTGCACTACATTCCACATTCAACACCGATAGATATGATACTACATTCTATGTTCAATGACAATAGCCATCACGCTACATTTTACTTTCAACACCAATAGCCATCACACTATATTCTACTTTCAACACCAATAGCCATCACACTACGTTTTATGTTCAACACCAAAAAGCCATCCCAATACATTGTACATTCAACACCAGTAGCCATCATCCTACATTCTATATTCAACTCCTGGAGCCATCACACTTCATTCTACATTTAACACCGATAGACATCGCACTACATTCTACATTTGAAAGTAATAGCGATCGCACTATATTCTACATTCAACATAAATAGCCATCACATTACATTCTAGATTCAACACCAATAGTTATCACTCTATATTCTACATTCAACACCAATAGCCATCTCACTACATTCTACATTCAATACAAATAGCCATCACACTACATTCTACATTCAACGCCAATAGCCATCATTCAACATTCAACACCGATAACCATCACATTACATTCTACATTCAGCACCAATAGCCATCACACTACATTCTACATTTAACACCAATAACCATTCCACTACATTCTACATTCAACACCGATAGCCATCATGCTAGATTCTATATTCAACACCAGTAACCATCACATTACATTCTATATTCAACACAAATAGCCATCACATTACATTCTACATTCAACACCAATAGCCATCATGCTATATTCTATATTCTACATGAATAGCCATCACACTACATTCTATATTCAACACCAATGACCATCAAGCTACATTCTGCATTCAACTCCAATAGCCATAACACTACATTCTATATTCAACACTAATAGGCATCACACTACATACTACATTCAACACCAATCGCCATCACACTACATTCTACATTTAACACCAAAAAGTCATCCCAATATATTCTACATTCAACACCAGTAGCCATCATCCTACATTCTATATTCAACACCTATAGCCATCACACTTCCTTCTACATTTAACACCGATAGGCTTCATACTACATTCTACATTTAACACTAATAGCTATCACACTACATTCTATATTTGAAAGTAATAGCGATCACACTACATTCTACATTCAACATCAATAGCCATCACATTACATTCTACATTCAGCACCAATAGCTATCACATTACATTCTACATTGAACACCAATAACCATTTCACTACATTCTACATTCAACACCAATAGCTGTATTGCTAGATTCCACTTTCTACACCAATTGATTTCCTGTTCCCTCTAAAATCTTTTCATTATCTATCACTCCAAGTAGTTTCTTGAATCTCAGTGGCATTATCCACTTGCTTGGGGTGAATTGATTGAAAAACAATTTCTAACATGTTTTTTTGCCAAGAAATGATTTAATTTTATAGATATAAAAAAGCTATAGACTTTTCTTAATTTCTGTGTCCATTTTTGTATGCACAAGTAAAATTTCTACTTCATTGGCTTCTCTGAATTTAAAAAACCATGAAGAACTCACAGCAATCTTCAGATATTAAAGGAATCAAAAATGAAAAGAGCTCTGAATACCTACAACCTGGTGAGGGGAGATATTACATTTTTTTAAAAAATTCTAACTTTTCATTTTCATTTGTTTTACCAGTTCTTGAAAGGTTCAAAATGGTTGGAATTATCTTTTATTGGTTTTATTATCCTTCTTGTTTCCAACAGAATTCATTCTTCATCTGCTGTCAGTTGTATATGTGGAATTTGTAATTATATTTTAAAAGTAAAAAGTAAGACGATATACACTAAAATATTACTAACAAAGATCTTTATAAAATCTGTTTAAAACTATTCATTTGATACGAAAAAATATATGCTGAAGAAGGGTGAAGTATGAAACAGATGAAATGTTGTCTTCATGATAAAAAAAGAGGTAAGATGAAAAAAATGTTAATGCATATAAACTATAAAATAATAACACATCAAAATCTAAAAACATAAAAAAAAACTTTTAAAATTATTAATAGGTTGTAATACATACTTGATGATAACTGGAGAATAAGCTGGTTCAAACTGTTAAAAACAAAATGATGCAGATATGAATCAATTTTGTTTGTAGAATAATAAGAATAATACAATTCAAAAAATTTAAAACATAATGGGAAAAGCAATATAAAGATATTAATTGTAACTTAGTGATCAATGTAACCAAACAATAAAATAACCCATGGAAAAACAAACTGTCTCAAAATCTCAGATATTTTTCATTTTTTATTCATTTGTATTTACTTTTATGTCTTTTCTTCTAACTTTTTTCCTCA